GCGGGGCCAATGGAAGAACGATCCTATACCTTTTCAGCCGCAGCCTTCGCATCACCAGCGCAACTCAATGCCTACCTCATCTCGCCCCGTCCCACCAAGTCCTGACCGACGACTCGCCTCTGAACCAGCAGAATTATCCATGAACCCCAACCACTCCGGCTGCGAGGATTTGGATTTCACCTCTGAATTCTCCCCAGAGTCCGATGACAGACAGGCTTCATACGACGCTGATGTTGATTCAGAGCTAATAACATCAGAATCAGAGATGCCAGACGACGATAACCGACCCTACTCACCACTCCCCCCTTCGTCACCACCTCTGTCACCAATGTCTTTTTCTGTATCGCCAATGATCGGCCCTATGTCACCGTCAAGCGTTCCAGCTCTACCTCCACTGTCGCCTGTTATCATACCTCCGCTTCCCTCGGATGACGCCGACGTCGAGAGTATTCACCTTCCGGTAGCCATAGACCCTTCTTCGTCGCCCCTTGTACGTGTCTTGGCCCATGGAGCTTGTTATCGTTCACGAGCTCACCCTTACAGGTTCAGACCAAATATGAAATTTCTCCCTTCATGATACCAGAAATGTCGATCACATGTGGCGCCGAGTTGAATACTATCACCGCCGTCATATCAGCACCCTCATCTCCGAGTCCCGACAGTGGCTTATTCGACAAGGACCAACAGCTAGACCCTTCACCACCAGCCTTATCTGTTGCAACCGATGCCGATGTGAATACTAATACTCAAGATTCTGCCGTGCCCAAGGAGGATTTGTCGGACGATGTTGCCAGAGAGCAGGTTGTCATAATTAGTGACGTTCCGATGAAGCAGGAGGTTCCAGAGATAGATCAGATGGTCGAGGTCACGCTGAAGGAGAAGAATGGAGTTGACGATATCGCGGCAGTAACGATGGGGCACGAGAAGCGCAAAAAGGGTCAAGATGATGGTCCGAAGAAGAAAAAGGCTCGGTTGGGTAGCCATTCGACGTCTTCAGGTGCTGTCGGAGACGATGAAAATACTAGGTCCGCCTCAAAATCCGAATCGAAGATCAAGACCAAAGCAAGGAAGCCGCGAAAGCAACCCCAGCCTCCTCGACGTCGACGTCGACAGCCGTCGTATACATCCTCGGACGAAGAGGACGAAGAGCCGGTAAAACGGCAGCCACCACCCCCACCTCCCTTGAACCTCTCGGTCGAGGACGCCGAACTATGCGGTATGATCATCGAAAGCATGGCCACATCCCGGGCTTCTTCGCACCGAGCCTCTTCCATCTATAAAGCTGTCGTACAGAACCGCCCTGCACTCAAATCGCAACGAGAAGATCCGGAGTGGATCGCCGCTATCGGGAGGATACTGGAAGAGGCACATCGTGTGAATGGGATGTTTGGTAAGGTGGAAAGCAGTGGCATGGTGAGCGCATCTGTGAGGCTGTGTTGCCGGGCGCTAATCTCATCTCGTCTGATATAGGATGATTCAAATCGTCCCCTGGAAGCACAGTGGTTCTATGTGCCGGAGCGGGATGAAGACCAGGAACGCGCGTCATTAATGAGGGCAATGATGCCTCGGCCGGCAAAAAGGTCTGAAACGAAGAAGTATAAACAGTATTACTACCGCCCTCTGGACAAGATTTCGCGTTGGGATTCTGAAGACGCTCTCTAGACATTCTTGCTTCTTTTAATTGCACTTTTTGACGCTACTATCATTATTCTAGTCTTCGTTCTGCGTTCCAGCTTGTAGCACTATAATTTTTTCCTCTATTTTCGGTTTTTTGTTCCTCCTTGCAACTGCATTTTTTTTAGTGTATTGAGAGAGCATGACGATCGCAGTTCTTTGACGGCAATAATGATTATCGTAATTGCATATACAAAATACACATCTAAATGTGAAAAGTCGTGGAGCAGGTGAGTGAGAAAGAAATAGAGCCTGTCTAACGTCTTTGGGTTTTCCCACCCTTACGTTTACCAGCAAATAGATGTTTTGGCTGAGAGGAAAGGTTAGACGTCTGCGTATTATCGCAACCTGTAGATTGCTCACCATTTTGACTTTGATTGCACGATCGCTCTCTCCAGCTTTGGCAAGCTGGTTTCGCGGCCGCTGCCCAAGATTCCGTAGCTTGACAGCCTTGGATGCTTGCTAGACATACATGAGCAAGCAGTACCGTAAAGCTTAGCAGATAGGCTTACCCCTTCATCCCGTAAACCAGCGAGTTGTCGATTCGTCTTCGGTGCCCGTCTGTCTATCGCCATCACTGCACCAGAATTGCCCTTAACGCGCTTGGCAGGTGCCTTCTCCTCGCCATCGACGTCCATCCCGTCATCGTCCTCGCCGTCATTCTCCATGTCATCATCATCGACATCCATCTGAGCCTCCTCGGCCCTCTTCCGCTTCGCTCCCGCCACCTTGGCCAGCACCGTTGCACGCTCTTGTATCCGACTCGGATCCAAGCCTGCTTTGGTCATCCCCTCCGTCAAATCTGACAATGACCGCAGCGTCGCTGTCCGCGGCATACGAGCCTGGTTCTTTTTGCTCTTCTTGATGCTCTGTGAGTGAATCTTGTGTGAGAGGGCAACTTGAGCTTCTTGGGCTTCGCGTTCGTCGTCAGAGTCGTACTGTTACAAGCCCCTTAGGTGTGAGAGAAGAAGAGGAAGCGAGAGGTGCTTACCATCTCCTCTTCGCTGTCATAGAACCCTTCTGTTTGCAGGCGCTCTTCTTCACGCTCAAGTGCGTCGAGCTTCTCCAGAATGTCGGGGTCAATGAAGTCGGCAATGTTCTTGCCATCCATGATCTCGGGTATGATGTCCATCTTCCATTCAGGGTCAGCAAGGAGGTAATCCTCTGTTGACGCAATCAGTCAATGCTGGAAAAAGGGAAGGGAAACACGTACGTTTGAGGTTGATGTTGTAAACACCAGGTCCACCCTCTTCCAACTCAATATCCTTCTGCAGTTTTCGCCTGTTAGGATCGTCCTTATCGAATTTCTTCTTGCTCTTAGCTGCCTCCGGTATACAAGGTGCACGAACCACGTCGTCACGCGCTTTAGGCTGCGCAACGTGTATACGATTAATGATGGAATTAATTTTGCTGCCCTGAACTTTGGTCTCAACGCGGTGAGCGAGGAGAGCCTCGCAGGCCTTATTTTTAAGCTCCATCACGCCCTCCTCAGAGTAGCATGATACCTGGACACATTGCACACCTTCAGAGTCAATGATCTCCTGGACGAGGGCCTGAGAGTCGGGGTGGATGTCTTCAAGACGCATGACATCGATTTTGTTGATGACGAGGAGAGTCGGCTTGCCGTTGAAGAGGGGTTTAATGGAATGGAAGAGTTTGCACTAGAACAATGTCAGATAATTTGCGGTCATGATTCTTGACTAAGGCTCACTTGGGCTTCGACTGAATAACCGCACTGCTCACTCAGATCCATGAAATAGAGGACAGCACTCTTCAGATGAGCCAATGCTGTGATACTCTGCATCTCAATCGTGTTCATCTCTTCCAAAGGGTGGTCCAAGACACCGGGAGTATCGATGACCTGCCATCGAAGGTATTTATAATCGAGATGCCCCACAAATAGGGATTTTGTGGTGAATGCGTAGAGCTGAACATCAACGTCGGCCCGAGTGACTTTGTTGATGAATGAAGATTTTCCGACGTTAGGGTAGCCGCATATAAGAAGGGTTCGGGTATTGGGATCGATGGCAGGAAGACGGGATATATGTTGGCGCACTTGTTCTAGGTATGCGAGGGGGTCCTTCTGACGACGCATGATCGTAGCCATCCTACAGCAAGCCTCAGTGCTCCGCGAAGTAGAAGAAAGAGCTGAGTTGCTCACCGACCGAGAGCAGCCCTTTTTAGCTGCTTGCAGCGATACAAACTGTCACCGTACTTGATCAGTCTCACAAAGTCCTTCGCTACATTGTCAATAAGATTTTGAGCAGTGCGCAGTTGACCGAGGGCGAGTTTGTAATGATTTTTGTCGTAAAGAACGTTCATAAGAGAAGAAAGGAAAGGGTGTAGATCCTGTCTTGAATGTGAACTTTACTTCGGCATTGATGAAAAAAAGTAAACGCACGTCCAACATGGGGAAGTCGTTCAGTATCGCACCCAGCTTTTCGTCAAATGTATCTTGCGTAAATTTGACCTTTCTCATATAGAAATTCCGTATGCGGCTAATTTTGAAGTTTTTGTGAATGACCTATACAGCAAATAAGTCCTTTCTTGATGATAATTAGACGAATTGAGCTGACCGTTGGTGTCTTTCGCTGTGTCTTGGACAGCACGATGTCCAGGAAATCAGCCGCCGTTGGTACGGGCGCAATAGCCTTGAGCCCACTGGTCGACATGGTGGCGAGATGAAGGGTGGGAGACGGTCTAAGGTGGAGAACAGTGTTTACAGAGACTGGAAAGAATTTTTGGAAAATTTCCCACGACCTTTTCCACGTGTCGAGCTGGATCTTATCTCACATCTTCTCAACCAGCCCCTTCTACGTCTCAAAAACAAGTAAATACGAGTGGGATTTGCTTAATCCTATGCATATATGCGGCCGTCGTAGCTGTTCTGAGACTTCAGGATCCTTACTTCTGTCACGGTGGAGGGTGTACCAATACTCGGGTCTCTCTGGCAGCACTCCATCAGCAAAACCCAGAATTAGTCTTTCCGGGCTTGGTCTTTTTCTAGCCCTCTTTCTGCCTCTTTTTCTTGGGTGATCGAGTCTTGGTCTTGGCAAACCGGTTCTTCTGCGGCTTTCTGATCTTATCGATTGGGGCGGTCTTCGAATGACTTTGCAGTTGGTATGTATACGGATTGAAGTTAGATATTGCAATATTGAAGCCCATGCACATCCGTCACGGTGATGTTGCAGCGTTGCAGCAGTGCAGCCACTTGCAGATGGTGCACGGAATGGCAGGGAATGGCGGAAGAGCAACAAAAAATCTTCTAAGTTCTTTCAAACTCCGCCCGGGCATGTCCGGAACATGTCAACGTTATGTTGGACTTTAACTCGGAGTCCGAATTGATTATTCCCTCCCTCCTCTCTCCCTCACTTTACTGCAACTCAATACCGACGATGGGGCCATTGGGCATGTACTGGTGGTACGAGGGCAAAGGTACGGGTGTCGAGTCTCATTGAACTGACTATATCTGATTCTCGCATTTCCTTCCGGGCTGCTGTCATTGCCAACAGGTGAGAAAAGAAGCGGTACGACCCAACACCTCATCATCACTCGCTGCTGAACTGACCAGAGCTGTAGATGGATGTGTGCAGACCAAGGAGAGGGCTGTTGTGAAGACTAGGATGGTGGCCATCCAGGAAGGGATGTGCCTGAGGGTGCGTGCTTCTTCCACTCCCCCATATAATTATTCACCATTGTATTTTGTGTCGGTTAGACTGCTTAGCTGTTGTTCTCCCTTCTGCAGTGTGTTTTCTTTTGACAATCTGATGCAATACTGATATATTCCTAGCACTGTCATGCCATCGAAATCACGTTCTTATCCTTCCTATAGGCGCCCATTCTTGCAACATCTCTCTCGTTATGTCACGGCTTCATTTCTATCTCCGAGGCAGAAAGGGTCGTAGTGTTAGCGTTATGTGCTATAGTTCATTGTCATAGATAGAAATCAATATACTAGAATTTCTATATCCTCCAAAGCCATCGGAACATGAAAGAGAAAGAAACAAAAGACGGGAAGATGTTCTCTTCCTAAGACAGCGATAGATCTTGCCAAGACAAAATCCTTCTTGACGAGAATATGTACCTTACTTGGTAAAGACCCTTGATCTTCTTGTCTTTGCCGTCTTTTTGGTCTTGTGCAAGACCGAAAAGACGCAAAAGACAACTTCTGGGTTTTGCTGATGTCGTCACTTCGGTTCATGTGTGGTCTGCCAGTATTGGACTTCTTCGAGGTCGAGTGACATGGGAATGCTGATGCCTAATCTCCAAAATTTACCACACGAGTCCGAAACCTAGTCGATAACGGTGTCGCCTCACCGAATGGTTGATTTTATTTCGATCCGTACGCAGGTGTGTCCGTCCATTTCAACATATATAAGTCCGATTTTCAAACGAACTCTTATTCAGTACTCTCGCCAATTGTGATATTCGGCATAAGACACACGGGTTGGCTTTTTCTTACTGTGCACGGATGGGTAAGAAATGTAATGATACAAAGCGCAGTAGCATGTCATGGTTACTACGTTATTCCAGTCGGGCCACACGGGCGTATATTCCGTTCGTCATCTTCTCATACTGCAGCTTCAGTATCAAGATGTCGTAACTCTTCGACCTTATTGGCTCACTCCAATATCACGCAAACACCATTGGATGATCAAAGCACCTTCTCGGAACCGCTGCTCCTTCATCATCGTGTACGAATGACGGTTTCCGGGCATTTGTTTCCGGTGTCAGACAAGAATCTTTTCAGCTCCTTCTTTCTTTCGAATCCAGTCTTACACGCTTCCGACGAGTATGGTGAGACACAAGAGAAGCGTTATATGCAACTCGATATAACATCATGAAAGACTCCAATCTCTAATTGCCTCATCCTATCGGATATGTTTGCCTATCTCCCTGTTGATGTAGCCCAGCTTGTTACTCTCTTTGTGGATAGTGTTTTATATGGATCAGCTTTCTTTCTTTCCATGAGAGCGTTCACTAAACAGTCCGATAGTAATGATCTTCTCTTACTCAAACTATGTCGCTATTGCTAATTAGTTTGTACGCAGGTTTACATCTAATGACGTTCATCTCATGTTTCCGCGGATTATTGTGGTCCAGTGACGGAGTCCTGAAAGCCAAGAGCGACATCAATTATAAGCTGGTAGTCGCTTCGCTCTGGATGCTGGGTTTGCAACCGTCAATATAGTCTGCAACCTCCAATTCGTTCTCTATACTTTCATATACTCCGGGATCAATCCTGTCGTTGCGTTCTTCGATATGTCCAATCCAGCGAATTTTTGCTCCTGGTCACGGTTGTGGCACAGACATTTATGGGGGACTGCATCCTTGTATGCATCGCTTCATTTCTTTCCCTGGATAGTTGACCATAGTGATTCCTCGCAGCTCTATAGATGTTGAGTCATATACGATAGACGGTGGATGGTTGTCATTTGCCCTATCGTTATGTATATTGTCGAGACAGGTAGGTCTTCCAATCAGACTCGGTTACTTTCATCATTAATCATACACTCCATCTATAGGATGTGGTATTGCTGCAGTGTATATCGAAACCACAATCAGCCGTGGCTCCGTCGTCATTAACCCGAAGATATTCCCCCTCCTCGCAACGTTCCAAGCCCTGACTCTGGCTACTAACATCATTGCCACATGTGTGTCTACCTTCTGCGTCTGCTGTACTACTGATACAACTGAGTTATAGCTCTGATCCTTATCCGCATCTGGACGATTCGTAGAGCATTGTTAGAGCTCATTCCTTCAGTCAAGAATCACTTGTTATCAAACGCGATCTACGTATTGGTTGAATCCGCGTTTATGTATACCGCTTCTGTCATCGTGATGCTTATCGTATATGTGCTAAGTAACGCTACTTATATCGTCTCCCCAGCCGTGAGTCTCTCTCTCCATTCTTCAAGCTGTTCGAGTCGAGCTAACATGGAAACAGGTTGTTCAAATCATTGTGAGTCCCACCGCAGTCTTCTCAAACCCGTGTGGTGTTGATCTGTGGGTGACAGGGAATTGCTTTCAATCTGATTATCATACGTCTTGTGAATGGCACCGCGGCGAAGTCAATCCAAGAAACGCTATTGTCTTTCAGGGCTTCGCCGCCCGACACGGTGCAGACGGAAGAACTAGAGCAGGGGGCGTCATGGAAGAGAGATGATTTTGTATCTTCGACAACACAGTGCAATTCTGAAGATAATTGCCAGGACGTTTGAGTATGGACCTTAGGCACTTTCTATTTAATATCCTCTCGTTATGATGACTGATTTCCCAAACGCATCAAGGTCACTATGCCTACCGATGATGCGAGAGATCAGCGCTCAGAATCGTTCTTGTTCCAAAATTGGATGAGAGGTAGGACATACCGCGTCTCCTGATCAGGTACTGAATACACTTGAGCGCACAGGCGCCACAATCGGTCATTCCTCGTGGGTCCAACACCATACATTCGCCGTCAATAGTGTGTTATTCATCTCGAGTAACCGAGGAGGCATCACTGCCACCTGTGGTGTTCGTGTCCTGACGTATCCCGGCTTGTTCGACGGTGAAATATTCCTCGTGGACTCACGTACAAGGGCACTCCAGTTGTTGAGTTCCAAGCCCTCGGGAGCGCCTCGCACGCTGTCACCCCGACTTCTTGCTCGTCGTTGCGACGATCTGCTTCTTGGACATTGCGACTCCCAGTTCATTTCCGTTCTTTAGTCAGTACTTACTTTTCCTCGCTTCCTCGGACTTTAGAGTAGTATATATACCTCGTATTTTGTACCCGCCACCTCAGCTTGTTGCTCTATACCGACAGAGAAAGGCTGAGGTGAGTTATTCCGTATTCCTTGTATTTATCGCCTTACTTACATCTCGTAGCGTAGCGCGTATTCTTACAGGTTATGGGCCCCGCGCACTCTGTCAATTTGCTGCTAGTTTCCCCACTTGTGTCGTCTCATCTCCCATTTTTCCGTCATGGCTTCGTCTGTTACCACGTCTCTCACCGACTCCCTCCCTGGGTCCGTGCCCAAGCTTGATGCTTCCGGACTAAACTGGGCTGTGTTCTCGATCCGCTTTCGCGACGCTGTTGAGCCCAAGGGTTTCTGGGGACACTTCGACGGCACCACACCTCGGCCGACTGCGTCATCACCCCCTACTCAGGCTGAGCATACTGCTATCGAGGCTTGGGATAAGGACGAACGCTCAGCGCGGTCTCTTCTGACGCAGAAGATTCCCGACTCGACGTTGATGCGTGTCCACTCCAAGACCACGGTGCGGGAACGCTGGGAAGCTATTGTTGATGAGTACACGAACAAGGGAACGTATGCGCAGACGGACCTTCGTAACCAGTTCATGGATATGAAGTGCGAGGAACGTGGTGATGTGAGAGTGTTCTTGGACAGCCTAAGGACAAAACGCGAAGAGTTAGTGACGTATGGCGTGCTCATCAGTGCAGATGACTACCGGTCAACCATTATCTCTTCCCTCCCTGGCTACCTCTCGAATTTCGCTGCAAACCAGCTCGCCACAGCTAAGCTGTACAGCTCTACACACACCCTTGACCCCGACATCCTCATCGATGCCATCGTTGAGGAGTTCGACAGGAAACGACGTGAACGTGCCCGCCGCTCGAAGGCAAAGGGTACGAAGTCAGAAGATCAGGATGTTGCTATGGCTGCATCAGGATCTGAGTCGAAGGGGAAGGGGAAGGAACGTACGAAGAAGCCCCGCGGTGCTTGTTGGGGCTGTGGAGAGACAGGTCACTTCAGGAATAAGTGCCCGAAGCAGAAGAAGACCGAATCTGCGAACGCTGCCGAATCTGACAGCGATGTTGCGTTCTGGGCCGAGGACACATCCGAGTCTGAGGATAGTGTGCCTGACCTTGAGGTGGTCAGCGACTCAGAAGATGAGTCTGCATTCGGCGACTCAGAGGACCGTGACGATGATGGGGTCGAAGGAGAGGGTGATTGGTTTTCAGATGTCGACGAGGACTCTGATAGTCCCTGGGGCTGTGGCTGGGATACCGAGGAGTTATCTGGGGCCAGTGGCAGCGATGTTGATTCGTTGGCTGGTGTTGACTCAGACTCGGTTAGTGCAAGGTCCATGGAGAGTGATGACTTCCTGGAGGTTCTTGAGGCTGCAGTGTCTGAAGAGGCAAACAGTATCAGCAACAGCAAAGCTGACACCGAAAAGGGTCATAGCGAACTTTACGACTCTGGATGCACCAAACATATCACCCCGTATCGCGAAGAATTGTCCAACTTCATTGAAATCCCCCCCGAAAACATTCCGTGCTGCAAATAAGGGAAATTTCAGTGCAAACGGAATGGGTGATATGACCGTTGATGTACCGAATGGTGTATCCGATGCCTCGCAGCTGAGACTTACAGAGGTTCTGTACTCCCCAGAGGTGGGCTATACTCTCGTGTCGGTCGGGAAGCTAGATGATCATGGATTTTCTGTCACGTTCGCTGGTGGAAAGTGCACAATCTGTGGTCCCGACGGCGAGTTGGTTGGAGAAGTCCCTAAAGTTGGAAAGGGCCTCTATCGTGTCGATCATGAGCCTGAGAGCGCAAACGCGGTGGAAGAAAAAATCACTCTAATGCAGTTCCACCGTCGTATGGGTCACATATCCCCAGACCTCGCTCGAAAACTTGTTGACAAAGGATTTGTCACAGGTGTACGGCTTGATGAGACCTCGTTTGACGAGCCAACCTTCTGCGAAGCCTGCATATATGGCAAGGCGACGAGAAAGCCCATCTCGAAGGTGCGGGAAGGAGAGAGAGCAACGAAAATTGGGGAGGAGGTTCACTCAGATCTTTGGGGACCTGCTCCGGTTGCTACTCTTGGCGGGCGCCGTTATTATATAACGTTTACGGATGACTGCACCCGATTTACCCGACTGCACCTTCTCAAGAGCAAGGACGAAGCTTATCAGGCCTATAAAGAGTTTGAGGCTTGGCTCGAGACTCAGCTAGGCGCTCGCATAAAGACTCTGCACTCGGATCGTGGCGGAGAGTACCTGGGAAAGGAGTTCATTCTCCACCTGAAAGAGTCAGGTACAAACCAGAAGCTCACCGTGCATGACACTCCGCAGCAAAATGGTGTTGCGGAGCGACGAAATCGTACCATTGTGGAACGAATTCGTGCCTTGTTGCATGCGAGTGGTCTCCCGAAGTACCTTTGGGGAGAAGCAGCACGTCACGTTGTATGGCTACTCAATCGCACGCCTACAAAAGCTCTTGATGGGAAGACTCCATACGAAGCTGCCTATGGTCGCAAGCCATCCCTTAAGGGGTTACGCGAGTGGGGTGAAAAAGTCTGGGTCCGTGTTGAAGGTGGGGATAAGCTTGGTGGTCGCGTAAAGGAAGGCCGCTGGATGGGTTTCGACGAGCAGAGCAAAGGGTTCCGCATTTACTGGCCTGACAAAAGACGCGTCAGTATTGAACGAAACGTGTATTATGACAACACCGCTTCGCCGACTTCTCGTCTCGAGGGGGAGAGTTTAGACTGCACCGAGACGAAATCCGACTCACCAGGAACTTTCTCGGCACCCACACCTCCAGCAGTCTCCTCGGAAACACCGTCTGTACCTGCTGAAAGCTCATCAGCAAATTCTGAACCCATTCCCGAACCCGAAGCACCCACTAAACGCGTCCGAAAGCCTAGTCAACGTGTCCAGGATATCCTTGATGGCAAAGGCATGAACTCAGCGAAGCCCGCCGATCCCATTGTAGCCTCAGGTGTCCAGCTCCCCACTGTCCCCGATAAAACCACTCTTGAGGGGGAGGGTACAGCCGAATGGATGATGGCTGCTGACTTCATTGACGAGTATGCGATGGCGGCTGAGATGTCAGAGGCTGAAGCTTTGGAGCCGAAGTCTCTCTCGGAGGCGAAGGACCGTCCGGATTGGCCTCTATGGGAAAGGGCGATCCAGGAAGAGCTTCAGACATTGAAGGATGCGGGGACGTGGGAGCTTGTCGAGCCTCCCAAGGATGCCAACATCGTCGGATCCAAGTGGGTCTTCCGTGCAAAAAAAGACGCTGCCGGAAATGTCGTACGCTACAAGGCTCGCCTAGTCGCTCAGGGATTCTCGCAAGTACCAGGCGTCGACTACTTCGACACCTTTGCTCCAGTAGCCAAGCTCGCTTCAATCCGCGCCGTCCTCGCAATGTCAGCCACCCATGATCTAGAGCTTCATCAGATTGACGTCAAGGGCGCATATCTCAATGGTGAACTCACCGAAGAGGAAAACATCTTCATGAAGCAACCTCCGGGCTTCCACGCACCAGGATCGAAGTCTCTTGTGTGCCATCTGTTGAAGACGTTGTATGGCTTGAAGCAGTCGGGTCGACGTTGGTACCAGAAGCTCGTCGAGATCCTTGTTCAAAAGATGGGGCTAAAATGCTGTGACGTTGATCAGGCAGTCTTTTTCCGACGTGATGGAGAAAAGTTAATCATTATATTGGTTCACGTTGACGACTGTACAATTGCAGCTTCGTCGCTTGCCCTAGTTCGCGAGTTCAAGCGCAAAATGTCCTCCTACGTTGAGATCAGTGATCTTGGCGAGCTGCACTGGCTGTTAGGCGTCGAAATCAAGAGGAACCGTGAGGAACGCACCATCCACCTCTCCCAGCGATCGTACATCATCTCCATCCTCCAGAGATACAACTTCGACGAGTTAAGGCCTCTGTCAACCCCCATGGACCCGAATGTTCGCCTCTCCACCTCCCAGTCGCCCTCAACAACGGCAGAAATCGCCCAGATGCACCACATCCCCTACCACGAGGCAGTTGGCTCCCTGATGTGGGTATCCCAAGGTACTCGCCCTGACATCGCGTTTGCTACACAGAGCGTCTCCCGATTCACGAAAAATCCGGGCCAGCAGCATTGGGCAGCTGTGAAACACATTTATCGGTACCTAAGTGGTACGCGCGATCTGTGGTTGACGTTTGGAAGGATGAGGGATGGGAACAACAGCGTTCAGGGCTACGCTGATGCTGATGGTAGCATGGCCGAGGACAGGCACGCCATCTCGGGATATGCCTTTTTGCTTGGCGGTGGCGCTATCTCGTGGTCATCAAAGAAACAAGAAATCGTTTCACTTTCTACCACCGAGAGTGAATACGTGGCAGCGACCCACGCGTCAAAGGAAGCTCTTTGGCTTCGTTCACTCATCTCACAGCTCTTTACGCCTGTCACCAAGCCTACGACCCTGTTCTCAGACAACCAATCGGCTATTGCACTTAGCAAGGACCACCAGTACCATGCGAGGACCAAGCACATCGACGTTCGATTCCACTTCATTCGCTGGATCGTCGAAAACGGCTCTATTCGCCTTGTCTATTGTCCTACGGACGAAATGGTTGCTGACACCCTCACCAAGGCTTTACCGTCCGCCAAAGTCAAGCACTTCGCGTCAGAGCTCGGCCTCTCAATGGCTTGAGGGGGAGTGTTGAGTTCCAAGCCCTCGGGAGCGCCTCGCACGCTGTCCACCCCGACTTCTTGCTCGTCGTTGCGACGATCTGCTTCTTGGACATTGCGACTCCCAGTTCATTTCCGTTCTTTAGTCAGTACTTACTTTTCCTCGCTTCCTCGGACTTTAGAGTAGTATATATACCTCGTATTTTGTACCCGCCACCTCAGCTTGTTGCTCTATACCGACAGAGAAAGGCTGAGGTGAGTTATTCCGTATTCCTTGTATTTATCGCCTTACTTACATCTCGTAGCGTAGCGCGTATTCTTACAGGTAATATCATAAGCTTGTTGCTCTATACCGACAGAGAAAGGCTGAGCGTAGCGCGTATTCTTACACCAGTATCGTTTACCCAGCTAGACTATGGCTCAACTGTGGCTTTCCAGAGAAGAGACATAACCGATAAGAAAAAAGAAAACCAGGAGAATCGGAAGGCCAAAAATATCGCAATACCCACAGCCAGTCCGCTATACAGATATATGCTCCTTGGCCTGTCCTTTCGTTTCGCTTCGGCACTGAGTTTTGGGTTCCTGATGAACCAGGTGCTGTCGTTATGGGTTGGTTCCTCATTAGTCGGCCGCGATAGTTTAAAGAAAGCACCTCTTCCGAGAGTCTGGACTCCCATTCGTACAACCTGGATATTATCTTCGAAGGACTAGCATGTTAGAATCGTGGGGCTGTTCCCAAACGAAGTGAGTGGCAAAATGAATTTACATCTGTGGCAAACGCGACATGGGGACTAACTACAAAATATACCAGCTTATATACTACGAAATCCCCTCGGAAATAAGCAACACGCAAGTAACTCGCTACGAGAACCCAGATGGCGACTGACTGTCGTGCCATGAAAAGCTCGAATATCTCACATAGTAGTGTGGAGAATGCAGTGTAAATCGACTGTCCACCTCTTAGGCACTCATCCCGCGGCAATAGAAAAAATGATGCTGGCGGATCAGGCACCAGTTTGGAACACAGCACCTCCTTCCGATGACTACGGGTAGCCAAGGAGGTATATGTAGCTCAAGATAAGGATGGACTTTCGATCCTCTTGTTCAATCGGACGATGCTTTCCCAGTTTCCAGTTGATGAGGCCCAACTCGTCAGTCTCTTTGTGGAGAGCGTTTTCTACGGGTGAGTTTCGTAGATTATGTACAAGTGATGGCGTTGGCTAAATGGTCCTAAAGTAATCACAGCTGTCTTGGATTGCATTCAATTTGCCTATTAACCTTTCCGTCTAGGCTTTTATCTGATAACTTTGTTTTCGTGTTTCCACGGGCTTCTAACCACCAGCGATGGGAGCCTAAAGCCCTGGCGCACCATCAATTACAAGATGGTAGCTGCGTCGCTATGGATGCTTGTCTTTTCAACTTTACACGTCGCTTGCCACCTCCGATTCGTTCTTGATGCTTTCATCTATTCCGATGGAGAACCCATTGATACATTCCAAGATATGCCACATCCAGTTAATGTTATGCTATTGGCCGCCTTCGTGGCGCAGACCTTCATGGGAGATTGTATTCTTGTATGTCCTGCGCTTCATTCCGACATTGGCCAGCGGGCCTCACTTATTATACGTTGACAATAGCTCTACCGATGCTGGGTTATATACGGTAGACGGTGGATGGTTGTCATTTGCCCAATAATCATGTGCATTGCTGAGATCGGTAGGTCCTCTACTAGAAACCCGATACCTATGATGAATCGTGATCTTTAGGTTGTGGTATTGCTGGGGCGTGTATTGAAACCTCGCTAGGCCGTCATTCTGCTATCACAAATCCGTCAATTTTCGCACTCTTCATAACACACCAGTCTCTGACACTAGCTACCA